CAGGCAGGATCTCAGAATTCTTCTCTATTAATTCTGCTAGCTGGAGAAATACCTGAAACGCATCTTTCTATAAAATATCCCTGTGGGGCAGGGAAGGAAAACTATGCTAGTTTTTGAGACCAAGAGCTCACAGAAAAGGGCTGGCCTTCAGACAAGTCAAAAATGGCTTGTTCAAAGTCACGCAGGCATTCTGCAGGAAGGCAGAGCAAGTGCCTCGCCAAACTTCGAGCGTTCTCTCACCACCCATAAGGCTTGTCAGATATGACAAGGTGTAGGACAAGTTTCAAGGGATGCCATCACCAGGATTTCTTCCACACATAAAGAAAAAGAGATGTTCTGAAGTGTTTCAGGCACCTTTGTTCTCTCTCAGGATCTAGCACCAGCGGGAACACCACGCTTTCTTAAAAGAGAAATGTTACTTCAGAAAACTAAAATCCAAACCCAGCAAATAACCAAAACTCACCTACCCCTAATTTTGTGCTTAATTACAAAGCAACTTTTTTTCCCCCACTGAAAAACAGCTTGCAAGTTTTACTGGCACACAGTCTTAGTGAAGAGAGAGATTATACTTGGAGAACAACCTTGGGAAGAGCTAACAGCGGCTCCTTGAAGAGCATAAATTATAACAGCAAAAACATGGGCTTTTGGCCACAGTCGCTTCCATATTAGAGCTTTATTTCATTTAGAAGCATTTCAAAAACAAACACACATCCTAATTAACGCTCTTAAAGCAACAAACATCTCTTTGTGTGGCCCAGACGTGAACTAGGGAAGTTTCCTCTGGCATGACATAGAGAAGAGCCAATCTGTATTCCCAGAACAAGACCAAAGCTTTGTGACCTGGTCAGAGCAGGGAGAGATCACCTACAGATGCAAATCCTGAGTGTGCAGATGCAGGAGAGAGGGTGAACCGACCTACGACCTGCTCATCTGCCCTTCTGCATAGCTCCAGGACATGGTGGCATCTCCACAGACCAGTTCAGTTCACTAACCCAGGAGGAAAATCAATCAGCCAACCCATCCATCCACCCATAGCTACTTCCTGCCTGGGTTAGCGAGCTTAGAGAACGCTCTGACGTGGGTTAGCGAGCTTAGAGAACGCTCTGACGATTGCTATGACCAACTCAACCGATGGGACAAGCCAATTTGGCTAAAAGCAAAAGCAGGCACAAGAGGCACACAGGATTTCTTTTAGGTCCCTTTCAGAGTGACCTAGCTTCCTGTGAAATCATGAATTAGCTCCTCTGGTTTACCTTAAAGTAAAAGCCAAAAGCAGAATCAGGCATAAGAGGCACACAGGAGTTCTTTCAGGTCCCTTTCAGAGTGCCCTAGCTTCCCGTGAAGTCATGAATTAACTCCTCTGGTTTACCTTAAAGTAAAAATAAAGGCTCAGACAAGACATTGTTTAAGTTACAGGAGTTTAAAATGACAACTGAACATTCCTACAGCTACCAACTCCTCACGTGACACCTTGTCACCGAAGAGAAAAATGGCAAATTAGCCAAGTCCTCTTTCACCCAAGTTTAATTAACGTGTTTGGTGTCACATTTCGAGGAGGCTGGACAGTTAACACACCTCAGCGGTGTGGCAACTTCCTGAGCCATGGAACTCCACCATCTGTTCTTCAACGCGTGCTGACTTCGGTATCGTTCACATACTTGTGCCTTTCTTTCTGGTTTTCCTAAATGATGACAAGACTTCAATCTAGTCCCTTCTCATCTGCATTACTCACAGTGGTTTTCTTTCTACTCAGCAGGCTTTTACTCACTCCCAAAACAGCTCTGTCATTGCTGGCAGCGAGATTCGTAAGCACCGGCCTGATAACGCAGGTAAACTTTCAGTGGCGATGTTCAAACTGTCTAGTTCTATCAGGAATCTACTTTGAGAGACAGTTGGAAACACGCAACGCAAATACTGATGGTCATATCTCACTATTAACACATGTTAATTAATCAATATTGCCGTGAGCCTGTGAAGTACAAGTAATTACTCCCATTGCATTTACAGAGAACCCAATAGAGACTTGCACTGGCTACAGAAGGACTTTGCTTCGGATAAATGACTAATTCCTGTAAGACCAAAATGAAGAGTTTGGTGTTCACAACACGCCTCAAATTCCTCTGGAGTACTGACTCTCATCCAGCTGTGGATAAAAACAGGTAAGGGAAATGGTAACTGCAGCCAGCTGCCTGCATCGCTCTTCTGACAGAGGATGCTGCCCCATGGTAGGACTAACCAAACTACTCTCTAAACAATGGGAGTTTTAAGACTTAATTTTAATCTTACTCACTGTGCTGGTTTTAGTCAGGACAGAGTTCATTTTCTTCACAGTGGGTGGTACGAGGTTGTTTTGGATTTGCCCTGAGAACAGCACTGACAAGGTGGTTTTCACTTGGTGCGGGGGAGCGTTTGCACCAATTCAAAGATTTTTCCATCTTCTGATACCACCCCTGTGTTCCCACTTTCTCACTACAAGCAGCAGGGGTGGGGACGGCAACACACAGTTCAGACAGCCGACCCAAACTGACCAAAGGAGTATTTCCTTCCACAGCACAGCACGCTCAGTGTGTAACCTGGGAGTGGGCCAGGGGGCCATAGCTTGTGTGTCTGTTTGTTTTGCTCGTGAATGAGCTGGTGGGTCGGTTGGCTACCCCGGTTGTGCTGTCGCCTGTGGGGTTCACTCAGACTCTGCTGCCATCACTCTCAGGCTCTGGCTCTTGGGCCCTTTGGCTCTGACTCTCACAACTTGAGATCTTGCTGGGTATCAGTCGGCAGGTGGTGAGCAACAGTATCGTATGTCTTATTTTCCTTTATTTTCATTACATATTATTAGTAGTATTGTTAATATTATTAGTTTCACTATTTGATCGATTTATATTCATTTATTAAATAGTTCTTATCTCAACCCACCAGCTTCCTTGTCTTTTCCTCCAGTTCTCCTCCTCCACTGGAGGAGGGGGAAGGTGAACGAGGGGCTGTGTGGTCCTTAATTGCCAGATGAGGTTAAACCATGACATTCACTGTTTCAGTTAAAACTTCTATTTTTTTTTTTTTTAAAAAAAGGGACTGTTTTCTGAAGTGGTTCAAGGCCAGGTTGGATGGGGCTTTGTGCAACCTGGTCTAGTGGAAGGTGTCCCTACCCATGGCAGGGGGTGGGACTAGATGGCCTTTGAAGGTCCCTTCCAACCATTCTATGACCCTCTGATTCTTCTTTCTCTTTCTGATATCACAATGGCAACTTACCCTTTTAAAAAGGTATGGTTTAATCTGGAAATTTTGTACCTAAATGGGTATGAAGTGGTAAATGGTAAATCTTGGGCCCATTTCCTCTAATTTCATACTACCTAATCCCCAACAAAGAGGTTCACCCCAGCCAAAAATCATCCACCTCTACTTCTATTGCATTCTCAATGACCATATTAACGGCACATATACTGGAATAAAATGAAAAAGCCGCTCCTGCTCTGATGGAGGGTGGCAGTTGATTAACAGGGCACACATCAAGGCACCACAACAATTCCGGAAAGCAACAGAACAACGCGATACCCAACTGAAACCGCACAGGGACAGAACATGACCGAAATCTAGCTAAAGCACAGCAAGTTAAAACTCCATCATTCACAGTTTGGAAATGTATGTTAAAAGTCTGATTCCAAGTTAAAGTTGACAGAAAGTCCTTGCGCTGACACAAAGCAGCTCAAAGATCACTCTGAATAACCAGTACAACAAAGGTGCACAGGGCAGTGTGGCCTTACCTCTAGACTTCTCTCCTGCTGTGAGCTAGATCTTTACAATTTCAAGTGGTGATTTTAATACTGAAATCCAACATATTTCCAGCTAAAAGAAAGAAGAGGAGGTGGCTCAGGGGACTGGCAACAAAGTAGGAAATCACTAGTTTTGATTAAAAAACTAAGCCACCAGCAACAAATAACTCATTAACAGTTGTATCAATTTGAAATACTTTGGTAGTTGAGTTTCCAGCACAAAAGCCCCGGCGGTCGTTAGTTTTTTGCTGTAACTCCCTGTACAGAAGCCTGTGACTGTGCTGCCACTTGCGCTACGAATGTCCATGCGCTGGATGAGTAAGAGTCACCCTTGAAATAACCCATCTGGGAACATGTGACTGCATTCACTGCGACTGCATTCACAGCAGCCCTGTTTCCAGGATTTCTCTTTCCATTTGACAGAAGGTAAAACTGCAAGTCAAGAGGTCAAAGTATCTCAAGAGCCTGATTGCCACTGGATAAGCATGTGGTCGTGCCTATAAAAGAGGTATGGGGAACAGTGGTATAGGACTGGCCGGCAGGAGAGATGGATGACAGCACAGTACAGGTCCAGCCTTTCCTTTCAGCCTGACAAGCTTCAAACTTTGAATTAATTTGCTTATTTATTAAAGAAACAGCACGGATACCAATTACACTGAAGATTCATGACAAAAATCATTTAAAAGAACAAACTAATAGGCTCAAATTCAAGGATGAGATTTAGACAACTTGAATCCACACTAGGATTCAAGATACAGTAGTGGTTGCTTGGGCCAACACACCCAATTCTAACGCTAGGTTAGATGCCCCAGGTTTCCTGTGTTTGCTATTTAATGTTACATTAACGGCGTGCTCATCCCCTTTCACCACGTCTGCAGCGGTGCTAACTCTTGCACAGCTCTGGTACCCCTCTAATATGTCCAGCAGATGTACAGAGATCTCTCTCAACACTACCTTTTCCTCTGATCAAGGCTGAGTTTCTAAGAACAGGATGATTTTCCTTCTCTTTCAGTGACAGATATATCAACCAGACCAAGTGAGGAATTAAATGCTACTCTTCTCTGCTTTAAACATCTAGTAAATACCAAATCAGCAGAACTCCCCACTTTAGCCAACTGCTGATAATCACTGTAACCTTTTCTCTACTCTTTTTAGACAAGCTAACAGAACAATACACCAAACAACCCTTGAGCTCTCAACAGTGGATTTTTGTGGAGGTTTTTAGCTTGTACTTACACTACTGGAAAAGTTCTGAGCATACTTTACATGGGGATGGGACGTTATAAAGCCTCTTGGGGGTCTTCAGTGTTATTCACCATTCTGTAAGACACAATTAAAAGATACAAGAACGTTAGATATTTCTCTGAAAGGCTGACTTCTTGTTATTGGACTTAAAATTATAACCAGCTTACAGAGGGCAACCTTGGGGTAGATTCACGAGGCAGTAGCACCAAACCGCTTCTCGTTACAAAAACAGAACAGAGACAGGCACCTTCAGGATCCTTTTCAATCACCCAGTCCATCCCTCTGCTAAAAGGCAGTAGAATGTATACCAATCACTAAATATAACCAAGGTTCAGAAAAAATGCTCCTGGGAACCACTGAATTTTCTTGCATCATCTTCCAACTTATTCTGTTTTTTAAATGGGCTGTTAAAAACTCCCCCTCTTTCTTCCCTTTACCGCAGTGGGAGCTTTGGCATGGTTTGCAAAGGACCCATGGTCTTGCAGTCTGGTCAATAATCTTTTAAAGACAAACAGCCTATGAATTACAACAACTCCAGTTATGAACTGATACCTCACAGAGCTAAACAAGGCCAAGCAGCTGAGTACTGTACACCCATAGGTTAAAAACTGGCAATGTTCAAGCACACCACTCTGGATAATCGGTAACTAATCCGGAGCCACAGACAATCACAGGCTTACACTTCAACGCGCAAGGTAAATTCCTAAGGAGAGAGTTGATGTCTGGTAGTGTAATCAGTCCAGAGACAAAAATTTAAATTACAATTGATTTCTTTTGGCCACAAGTAAATTAATCTATGCAATCATTTAGCCTTATGACAGTTACCTACCCTTTTAACTCACATAAGCTATTAAAAGGATTATTTGGCTAACATCCGCAAAGAGCTCGGAAGACAGGTGCTGTGTTCTGAAAAAGAATGACCTAATAGAACTTTCTTTAGCTATCACTGCTGATGTCTCTCTCCACAAACTAACACAGACTGAAAATGCTTAAAAAGTCAAACTATTAACCAATGAGAAAGGGAAAAGCAGGATACTGTATCCAGGCAGACACAGAAAGAATGTCTACAAGGGGGCCTGCAAGGGAGCTGGGGGGGACTTTTTACAAGGGTCTGTAGTGACCGGACAAGGGGTAACGGGTTTAAATTGAAAGTGGGAAGGTTTAGATCAGATATCAGGAAGAAATTCTTCCCACAGAGGGTGGTGAGGCACTGGGACAGATTGCCCAGAGAAGCTGTGGATGCCCCATCCCTGGAAGTGTCCAAGGCCAGGCTGGATGAGGCTTGGAGCAACCTGGTCTAGTGGAAAGTGTCCCTGCCCATGGCAGGGGGGTTGGAACTGGATGATCTTTAAGGTCCCTTCACACCCAAACCATTCTGTGATTCTATGATTCATTCTATGAATTAGAGAGAACATTTACACTTCAGGCTATGGGCAGAGGTGAGTTGGAGAACACAAGTGGGTAGAGCAGCGCAGGGATTTGCATGGGACAATTCACTCTGCTCCATAAAGAGACGTCTGTAATGTCAACAACCAAGTCTTGTGGATGAACACATCCTGGCTTGTCTCGTGAGTTTAGAGTGGTCCAGACGTTACAGGATGGCTCTTCCTCTGTCACACCTGCTACGGGCTTTGAGGAAGAACTGCACCTAGCCCAGATGGAGACCACTGACCATAAATGATGGTATAGTCTGTATATGGGGTTTTTTAGTTGTTTCCAGGTCATAGGCAGTGGCCTGGGCAGAGAAATTGTGACACCAAAGTATTGATGGAAGGAAAAGCCAAACACACAGGTCCCTTGCAGTCATCCACCCCAAACCTTTTAAAGATAGTTCTACATGAAAACACTTCTCTGTTAAATCTCTTCACTGCATTTAAACCACTTTCCCCAAAGCAGTCACAAAAAATATGAGATCATGTTGACTTATTGCCAAATTTTGAGTTTAATACAGAGAGCTGTTTTGGTTTCCAAAGAGGAGCAAATTAGACTTAAATATACACAAACTTTGTGACTGTCAGAGAGGCTGACGATGGAGAACTGGATTCCTCACAGAAGGATTTGCTCCCAGGGTGGAGAACAAAACCCACAAAGGAAAGAAAAGATCACCTTCCATCACCATGAAACGCAGTATTAAAACTGGAACATGAGGAGATGAGATCGAGCGCCAAAGAAAAGGCTGCAGTAACTCAGGTGTGAGATGACAAAGGCAGGACAATGATATTAGTGATACTAATGGAAAAGAAAAAAAAAATGGTACAGACCTCAGATGTTATAAATGAAGAGCCATTAGGATCTAGCCCAAATTTGGGATATGAACAGAGGAGGTAGGAACTCTTCCAAGAGACTCCTGATCTGTGAGTGCAGACAGAGGCTGACAGCATTTCAGCAGAAATAAACAGGAGAAAGTTCATGAGAAAATAAGAGGAATTCTCATTTTTTGCTACGTTAAAGGTCGAGGCAGCATCACTGCAGTCCGAATGCAACGGGGCACAGAGCCAGGCAGTAAGGCAGGTGGGGGAACCCTCAGGTCTGCCTGGGTGGCTGGGCTTGTGAAAGCAAATGCAGTTGCCCAGAAAGAAGAGGAAGCTAGTGCTTCCTACGGCTCATGCCAGAACAGAACGGCTCCAAGCGAAAAGGGTTACAACCAGGCTTTGACTCAACATTGGTCTAAAGTTCAGTGGCACAGAAATACCTTCCCTGCCCCCACACACGTAAAGGTTGCTTATATGTTTTTGGTTTGTTTAGTTGTTTTTTTTTTTTTTCTTTTTCTGTAATTTAAGGGCACATAAGACAGGAAACAAGCAACCCATCACCTGTAATTTTAGCCAAAAAAAGATCAGCCCCGAACATTGCAAATTCCACCACCACCAAATCACGATTCTGAAATCATGAATCGATATCCCTCTTTCCCTCAGCCTTCTTCTCGCATAAACCGAAGCAGCAAAAGCAAGTGTCACCATGATCTAGAGCTGATATGCAAGTAAGAACTCACAAACCTTTGCCCTTTTCACATTATTCGTTAAATAAATTATCTACTAACACAGGGGAAACACTACCAGCTCCCTTTCCTATTGCTGGTACAGACAATAAAAACCATTCAATATTAATATGGAAATCATGGCCACAGTCGTAGAATCAGATGTAATGAACAATCTTGTCCCCAGCTTAAGTTGCTATAAAGGCAGCTTAAATTTGCAATGGATGAGTCTTCATGGCAATCTGTTTTTCAGATATTAAAAATCCCATTTTCTCAGCGCCAAGGACAAGTGGAAGTGTGAAGCACTGGAGTATCAACTCTGCATTTGTCTCACTTGACATGAAATCATTCTCATTTTAGTTCAGATTTTTAATACATTCTTGGGATCCACTTCAGCTTTCTTCATTTCTCACTGTGTGCAGTTAAATGTTTTGAAGTATAGTTCACCCTGATCCACATTGCCCTGCAGAAGCAAGGAGGAAGTCACTTGGTGAAGATGAGGCCGGTATCACTTACCTGGAATAGAAAGACATTTTCCCTTTTCATTTCTGAGCACACAGTTAAAAAGATAACGCCACCACTTTGTTTTTCACTAATACCTTCCTTGGGCAGTTCTTTAAAAGGGCTTTGCAAATAACAAATTCAAAGCTTTTGTCCTTGGGGAAGAGAAATATCACCGTTTTGTCAAAGGTAAAACATGAACCCAGGGGGCTAAAATCTTGTCTTAAAGCCACAAAGCAAGAGTATCAGTGGCTGAATGTGGTATCTGCCTGAGGACATGGGCCCCACTACTACAACAGGACTATCACCAAACCAGCTACTGAAATGCTGAACCACCAAGTTTCTTCTTGCTGATAAACCTGGTGCATTGGATGGTGAAGAAAACATGCAAATTCAGCCCCAAGAATGAATTTCTACTACTGCTGAATTTGCAAAGACAGATATCCAAGTCCTGGAATAATTACAAACCAATCAGCTCTTAAATGCACACCTTAGGGTCCGTAGGAATCAGGTCTTCTGGATGGATGCTGTGCATATGCACGTGTCTATAAACATGGGCTGCTATGAAGATTTTACCCTCTGCACCGAGGCCCACGTGAAGTAAAACAAGCCTGTTACCTGGCTTAACTTAATTCCAAAAGATATCTTTTCTGAAAAACAGCAAGAGACCAAGGATCCATCCATTCTAGTTCATTCCAGCGGTTAATCACCCTGTCCATTACAAATTTGTACTTGAGTTCTAGTCTGAAGGTGTCTGGCTGCAGATTCCGGATGGGAGCTCCCTGGAAAGCCTTTCTTTGCCAGCTTAGAGCCCTTTACTCCTGGGAGATATTCAGACAGGCTGTTGTTTACCCAGTGATTTTAAACTCTGGGTACTGCATCTGTATCAAAACCTAAAGATAAATTCATCAGGGTGCATGCACAAAAGTAGGACTAGTGTCCAAAATACTAAAGCTAATCTAGGACTCTCTAGCCCATTTTCCCAAAATAGGCCTATTAGGAAAAAAAATAATAAATGCTGTGCCATCTGACTGGAGGATGTGTTACATCTGTGCCCTGGATAGCAAGGTTAAGAACCTTCTCTAAGAACTGCCACCTCCTGAGCACGCACTGCAGCTTGGTGACGTGCCGCAACCAGTTTCATGAGGTCATTGTACGGCAACACAAAGAGTTGTTTCTTGTCTCCAGGTTCCAAGTTATTTAAGCATAGAATCACAGAACGGTTTGAGTTGGAAGGGCCCTTAAAGCCCATCTAGTTCCACCCCCCCTGCCATGGGCAGGGACCCCTTCCACTAGACCAGGTTGCTCCAAGCCTCATCCAGCCTGGCCTTGGACACTCCGAGGGATGGGGCATCCACACCTTCTCTGGGCAACCTGTTCCAGTGCCTCCTCACCCTCTCCGGGACGACTTCCTTCCTCATGTCCCAGCTCCCTCTTTCCATTTAAACCTGTTCCCCCTTGTCCTGTCACTCCCTGCCCTGAGGAAAAGTCCCCCCCCCAGCTTTCTTGTAGCCCCCCAGGCACTGGAAGGGGCTCTTAGGTCTCCCCGAAGCCTTCCCTTCTCCAGGCTGAACCTCCCAACTCTCCCAGCCTGTTCCC